TTGTTTGTAATAATTAATCATAATAGTTGCTATTATAAATTATACAGTTGTATATATATATATTAAAACTTTTTTGTGTCAAAAACAAAAATGGTGTGAATCAATGTTGTTGGCAAATAGTGTAAATTAAATAAAATATCGGCATATTTCTAAACACTAAATCCAGGGTACGTTTCAACTATTAAAATTTAAATTATTTAACTTCACTGCAGATTATTTCAAATTCTCAATACGTAACAACGAAGTAATCCAGGAAGAGCCTAGATTCATAGGTTGTACAGTATTGGTTGTAATAGGTGTAGATTAGACATATTATCCTGTTTCATAATGCATAATTAATAGTGTATGAGGTTGAAATTGTTGAGCAGATTTGGACAGAGATGTGACAGACTTGTTGCTAGTTTTTATTTCAATTTATTGATGATTTATATATCTAATGGTGGCCTTTTGTACTTTGTTAGTTTTATTGTTGAAGTTCTACTATACTTTGTTGATGCTGTTTTGTACTTTATTTTTCATTTTATTAATGCCTTTTTGTATATTTCTTATGGCTTCTGCTACAAAACGAGTTTTTGTATAATTCTTCTGTAAGTTTTATGTCTTGTTCTTGTAAACCTTCTAAGTTCCTGCCCTTTTCATTATTTTTTGTTTTTTAATTCTTCTTAATGATCCTCTTTCCACTATTTCATCATTTCCATGCAACTTTCGATCTCTTTGAGTATGTGTTCAAATCATGAAGATAAATTTTGATTACATTTTATATTTACAAAATTAAATCCTGCTTCTGACACCAATGCTGTCATGATTTCTATCATTAACTTTGTTATTCTCGAGTATCTTAATTTATTTTTAAACGTAAACTTGGTATTCATATCAATAAACTAAGAAACTTAGTCAAATAATAACTCCACATGAAACTAGTCCCTTTAGTAATAAACTTAATAAATTAATTGTAATAAACCTACTCTAGTTTAACTTGCATTTTATACTGCTTGAAATCTTTTAAAACTTTTGAAAAAATTCTAGTCTTTAAGCCACGACTTCATCACATGAAAAAAATGTTCCATATTAATTTCTCCAAATTAAGCAAAACTCTCACCAGGAGAAAAAATTATTTTGCATATTGCAACCTTCACGTGAGATTTTCTATGCTCTTTGTGTGAATCTCTAAAATTAATCGTAAACAGAGGGTTTCTAAGACCCAATATTATGCAGTACAGACTCTTTGCCATACCTGTGTAATTATTGTCTTTTGGGGTATCAGAATGTAAAATAATTGTATATTTTGTAATACGTTGTCCTCTATACATTCAGTGCTGTTAAATACTTACACAATATTATGTGATTGAACATGCGACACTGCACTATTATTGTAATTTTGTTTTCTTTACTTCTTTGTTTATTTAGTTTCCTCTTCCACACAGTCGAGGCAGTTCCCATGGGCACAGTCGAATAATTCGCACAGCATATTCGGAGGAGCATTTCAATAAAATGATGCCAGATGCTTTTCAGATGTGGAAAGACTTGGAAAAAAAATCAGGAGAATCATTAATATTGTAAGACTGCATTGTTATAAATAACATGAGAATATAATCTTTTTATAGTGAGAATACATTCATATGAAAGTATTATGAACCATTTACACGGGTTGAGTATGTTATATTAAAGCAATTATGAAATTTCAACATGTTATTACAGTCTAGGCTGACATATCTGGTTGTGCTCTATCCATTGATGAAGCATCTTAACAATAGTCCTGCAGCATAATTTTCTTTACAAAAAACTCCATCATAAGGCTTTCATGTCCAAAGCACAACACTCCTCCCAATTTTTTTACATAATCCATATCGTATATGAAGATGATGGTTCCTAGCACCCATTTCAACAGCCTATTCACACAGAAACCTGCAGGTGCTGCATCTGGTTGCTTGACTAGAATATATTTGTATGTATCAGCATGAATGCATGTTTTATTCTCTAGTTGCTTGAGACATGTGATAGTTGAGCAGGTATGTCATGAAAGTAACTTGAGTACACTTATGTCACTTTTCCAGGTGGTGATCAATCTCTATTATGTTGCATACTGTTACTTGAACACATGGATAGCTTCGCCACTGACCTTTATGTCACATGTTCTCACTTTTACAAGATGATGATCTTTGCTTACCATGGATGGGGTACAACTTTTTGCAGATCTCTTTCTAGATAGTCCTGAATCTCAGACTTGATCCATATTCTTTTTTTTTCAATGTCATAAGTTCAAGGGGTATCTCCACCTTGGAATTTGTAAATCCCTGACTTGAACACATCTTTATGGTCTGAGTGTGTGAATATTTTGTGTCAAAAATGTTACATACCCTTCCCCAAAATTGATCAATTTATATTATTATCACACCATGTACATAATACCAAACAATGTCAAAAGTAGTTCAGATCAGGTAATTCCCTCCACTCACAAGATTAGCTATTCCTGTTCAGTGCTGCCCTCTATATGCAAAGTTTTAAATGCATGCCACAAGCCTTCTGCTCCCTCCTATTGAAATCTAGTGATTCTAACATGTCTCTCATGCAAATCATCGTGCATCACTTCTCCACTAATGGAGTGCAATGTACTTACATGACATATGTGACTCCCTCTATACTCTTCCACCAAACTGTCACTTCTCGTGTGGCAGCACTTGTACTCGGATGTTTTTGTCATTCTTTACTGTTTCACATTCCTATTTAGTATACTCACGAAGTGGCCTTCATTTATTATAACTTCCAGACTATGTGGAGTTTGAAATTTGCCTTCATTTATCTCAGCTTATTGCAGTCACATTCCAAAGCTAATATTATCACTTGGGAGTGATACCTACAACTAGTGCTATCTCATGGGCTGCAGGTGTGGACACCCTGGCATGGATTTTTATCAGTGTTTATCCTCTGGGAGATTGAATGTTAAAAAAGTCAGCCTCTTTCTTCGGTTCTCACCCACAATTCCTCCAATAGAAGCCGACCCTGTTTAGGCAGATGGCGATCTTGATAGCCTTTTTCCACCATTGGATTTCAAGTGTTTGGTTTTTCATTTCCATTATGTAGTCTCTGTTCCCAATAAGGAGATTCTATGATCTTTGAGAATGTCTATAATGGCCTTCATTCACGTTACTCCACGGACAATTTCCACCATATTTCATCAGGAGGTTAATTGTCGAATGTCCAGACTTTTGTCGGACCTCGCCTTGTGCTTTGTGGTCCACCATTTGCCATACAGTCCACCAACTTTGGAAAGATATGTTTTACAATTTTATTGTTAATAACTTTATCTATAATTATTTGAATTTCATAAGTTTATTTAGATTAGTTAATACTAAGTTACGTTATGACTCGTAGTCTTCGTTGTTTTTCTTCTAAACCCTTCGATTAGGCTTAACATGGTATGTCCTTCATTAGTTGAACTATGTTATTTCCTTATCATAATTTCTACTTCATTTCATTAATAATCTTTTTCTTTACTTGGTTTGGGTGGAACCTTGAATCGGGATCTATAGAGACTTCTTCTACGTTAATTTATTGTTCAGTTTCATTTTTCTTTTCATTCTTAAGTTATTTTTTTGTTCTGTACTGTTCATACTTTTCAATTTCACACTAGTTCTATTTCCTTGTTATTTCTGTTCATTATCTTCTTTTAATCGGTTTCATTACTGTATTATATATTGGTTTACCTGTGGTTTTATTGATGGGTTAATATCTACTTAAGTTCCAGTTTTTCTTCAATACTGGATCATATGGTATTCATTCTCTACACCATTTTCTTCCCATTGTAATATGTTGACTAATTCATTTTGTCTTCTTTATAGTTTATCCTTTTACAGTTACTTTTGTTTCATCTCTACTTTATAATTATTACCATTCATTTAATTTAGTTTATACTTTATCCTTTTTACTATTAATTTCATTTAGTTTATAGTTTATCCTTCTTACCATTAATTAGATTATTAGTTTCCCGTAGTTTTATGGACAGGTTCATATGTATCATAGTTCCATATTGTTCTTCAATTCAACATCATAAGGGATGCATTTCCTACACCATTTTCTTCCAGTTTTTCACTACGTTCACTGTTTCATTTTGTTTTTCTTTATAGTTTATACTTTTTAGAGTTACTTTCATTTAATTTCTACTTTATACTTCTTACCATTAATTTCGTTTTGTGTACAATTTATCATTTGTACCAGTAATTTTAATTCATGTGTTGGTCCCTGGGAGCTTGGTCAGTTGTATCTGCTTCCAGTATTGCTCACCTTCCCCATCTAATGGCTGAACCCATTTTTCAACATCCTGAAATTGTCAGTTCACCCTGACCTTATCATGGAATGCCTTCCATACTTCTGTTGCAGTATCTACTAGACCTACTCTACACACTTTCAGACACATCTTGCAGAATATTATCATCATGTTTTCTGTGCTATTCCTGTTGTCTCTTTTGAGTTTGGATTCTTACAAGCCTTACCTTCTACAGGCATTCAATTTTACCTTAGGCAGATTTCTTTCAGCATTTGTCATTCTTTTTTCCCCTATTGTCACTCATACCATTAATGTTTCATTTTTCCTTATATTTGGTGTTTTGTTTACATTTTGGGTTTGTTGAGGGATACCTCCTATTTCTCTCCTCCATGTTGGGATTTTTGCCATCGTCAGTTCATTCCCTCCTTACATGGCTTCTTTGCTTTTGAGTTAGTATCAGGTGTGAAACTGCTGTTTGTTTTCCTTTCCATTACTAATAGGGTTTTATGGTCTGTTCCTTTTCATCTCTTGTCCCTTTTTTGAGGGTGTTGCTCCTGTGGGTGGCACCTGTTTGCACTTTTTCTCTTTTCACATATTAGATCTGCTCTTTTGGCCCCCCTTACACAATATTCATATCCTTGCATGTCATGTTCCAGGTGCTCTCACTCAGATCACAGTTTATTTTTCTATCCACCGAAATGGTCTCTTGATTCTCGTGTTTTCCAGTGGCTTTGTCTTCCATGAGATTCTCCCCACATAGATCCCTTTACTACATCTCTTAACTGCCAATTATCTCTATTTGGTATCCTGTACCTCCTCCACTAGGTAGTGCTGTTAATGCCTTCAGCCAGGACTGGTCCCACAGGTTCCTGTATGTTTATCCCCCCCCACCCCATCCTCTTACTTCCATGGGTGATTTCACTCATCCATACTATTCTGTATTAGGTCCTTCTGATTGCTCCTTAATAACCAGCTCAACTGTGGTTTCGATGACTTCTCCAGCTCCAACTTTTGCCTCCACTGTCTCTTTCTTTGTCTCCTGTCCTTCTTCATCCACTTCATCTGCTAGTACTCCATCTGGACATTCACATTGTTCGTCTTCATGCTTGGCTCATTTTCAGTCCTTATCAGGAAGATCGGTTTATACTCGCAGGTAGCTTTCTCTTAGCTTGTTCCATTCGCTCTTCTTTGGTGGGTGTTTATTGGCATAAATGGAAAGTATTCTGCAGTTAATCTATGAGTCTGGGATTTTTTGCAGATCAAATCCCTGTGTCTCTGGTGGCAGAGTTTCTCTCCTGGTTTTTCAACCTTCGGTCTTTGGTCTCTTCGATCTTGGGTTATTGGGCTGCCTTGTCCCATACTTTCATTTTTTTTCCCGATACTGTAGAGTTTTTCCCTTACCTATGCTTACAATGTTTGTATGTTCCTTACAGATTAGTCATCCTCCCTGACTGCCAACTATTCCAATTTGGGATAGTAATGTGATCTTTTATTCTCTATCTTTACCTTCATTTGTATCACTTTCCTTGTGTTTCATGTTTCACCTTCCCTTCAAGCACAATTCCTTCTCCTCTATGCCTGTGTACATTGGAGGTCGGATTTGTTTCCCATGATGTTTCTCTGACATTTTTCCCACCACCTCTCTTCTCCTTTATCCAGATCTTTCCTTCCTACCCAAGGCATTGGTGACTAGAGGAGGTAACTCCACCTTTTGCCTAATTTCCTTCCTTTCATTTCTCATCTTTATTCTTGTCCCGATCTGGATTGACTTCTATGTATGGTCTGTGCTCTTCATATTTCTGTTGCTAGTATGGTTTCTTTCTGTGGTGCCTGCTTCTGCCTCTATATTTCTAGGCAGTTTTCCTCAAGTCGAGATCTTTCTACTTTCACTCTCACAAATTGTGTTTGGCTTTTGATCCCATTGGCTTCCTCCCAGACTTTGTTCCAGGTGTCTTCTCATCAGATTCAACATCTCTGGTATCTCGTCTTTGTCAACCATTGGGGGGACCCCTACATTCTGGCATAAGGAATACACCTAATACATTCTTCTCCCCTTATTTACACCATATCACGATTTCTTCCTTGTCTTTGTTTACCACCTGTGAATGTTTTTTCATACTTTGATGCAACTCTAACAGGGTAAGTTTATATTCATTATTTCTTTCCTTTCAGGGAACTTTGCTTTATTATTCACTATTTGGATTCTGCTTCGTAGTGAGTGGTGCCTGACCAGGTATCCTTCAATTGAAATCCACACTGTACAGCCATGTTGAATTGCTCGCTTTTCCATGGCTTCACAGTGCTCACTGGTGAGATGGGTGTTCCACAAGATCACTTGAAGGTGAATAACCTTGTGATTTTTTTGCTTCATAAACATACCTGTTCCGGACTGCATGGGTAAAGCAGAAGGGGATAGCTGCCCATTCTTGCCATGCCTTGATTGAATAAATCATTATGGTCAGCTTTTCAAAATAGGATTTCATGGTCACCCATTGCACTGTCTCCGGTGATGATGTTCCTCTGGAATCTCCACCACGTATTCACCCTACTTTCTTCTAGTAGAGTGTGGAAGTCCTTACCACACTCTAGTTCCAAGCTACTGGGGTGGTTGACCATGGAGGCACCCCTCCTGAATGGGTTCCACAAAAAGATGGCTATAAAAAATTCAGTCGAGAGTAGGGCAGCGGTGTACTGCTGATGTAGATGAGACATGGCCTCCAGTGGAGTTGAGCCATCACCTTGCTGGCCTCCTGATACCATTTACATAACCATTGGTGTTGAGCCATCAAAAATGCAGTTCTCCCATTCAATTGGGAGCCTTCATCCAACCTCCACGTGGATGTTGGTACACTGTGGCCTGGTGTTTGATTTAGAGTGAACCAACCCACACTAGTCCTCACACATGTTTATGGTTGTCTATATTACTCCCTTGATCAAACTTTGTTTTGTGCATCACAGCTGAGGAAGGTGGACTGTTTTAGGTCTCTTCCTTTGCTATCCCTTGATATATCTTATTCGAGGATATTCTGGCTTTAGAATGGTTCTGGTTCTTTTCCGATCAAGGGAGTTGAGTTTTCTTACAATACATCTTTTCGATACTGGTTGTAGGGTTCTCGGATCAATCTATCAAATGCTACTATATGTGCCATGTTCGGGTATTGGAGTGGTTATTGATTCCCTCCAACCTCTCGAACTTGAGGTGAAGATGGTATGATCCTCATTCTATCCCCATGTGGATATCAGCTCTCAGCAATGAGGGTTTTGGACGTAGTTGACATACCCGTACAGTCTGTTGCACCCTACCCACTCTACAATTTGGGGGCACATTTATTGTTTATTCACTTTTATACAGTGGGATTGACTTCCATATCATATGGTTCAGCATACTATTCTGCCTGAGTATGTATTTTATGTATGGGGGAAGAAAGAGGTTACCTGTTTCAGAAGTGGTGCGGTACCCCTCATCAGATTCTTGGGTCTGACTCTCTCTCTCTCTCACATTCCCAGGATTTTCCTTCAGATGCTTTCAAAGGTTGCTTCTGTGGACGTACCCATACAGTCCATTGCACCCTACCCACTCTACATCTCGGGGCGACTTCACTGTTTACCCACTTTTATCGGTGGAATTGACTTCCATATCATATGGATCGGCACACTATCTAGCCTGAGTTCTTTCCCACTTGGATGTGCTCCTCTATCATTCCATCCCTATCTCGTATGTGTATTTTTGCAATGGCAAAGAGTGTACTTGGTTCAGAAGTGGTATGGTTTCCCTCTTCAGATCCTCAGGTCTGACTCTCTCATTTCCAGGGTTTTCCTTTGAATGTTTTCAAAGGGTGCTTCTGTCATTCCCTCACACCGGTCCCTCCTATTCATTGTGGGATTCTAGCTAATCTTGTGAGAAGAGGGAATGACCTGATCGGAAGTTATAATTTTCCTATACTAAAAATGTATTTCTGAAAGGTAATTTCCTCCACTCACACTTCCCACCCTTTCTCTCCACTGTGAACCGGTGCTTCCATCTTCTGCCAAACTCGAAGAGATAGTTTGGTGGAAGAGTATAGAGGGAGTCACATGCATCACGTAACTATGTCACACTCCATTGGTAGAGAAGTGATGCACGATGATTTGCATGAGAGACATGTTGGAATGACTAGATTCCAATAGGGGGAAGCAGAAGACTTATGACATGTATTCAAAAAAGTTTGCATATAGAGGGCAGCACTGAATGTGAATAACTAATCTTGTTAGCAGAGGGAATTACCTATCAGAAATACAATTTCAGTATAGGAAAATTATAACTTCTGAGACATTCCATTCTACTGTGACTTTAAATTGCTTTATTTGTCTCATGACTTGTTGATTTTCATATTCAAAAATCATTTTAAAATAGAACACTCGTGTCTTGAGATTTTGATCGTTATTCATATATTCTAAATCTTTCTTTAAGAAACACCGGATTGTTATGTATAAGTAGACCTCCCTGCCATGAAGCGGAATTGGCTCTGGATAATATGCTGAAGATAAAACCAGAAGACACTGAAGTACTTGAATCTCAAACCTTTGAGAGAAAATTTCCAATGCTGAAATATCAAAACAATCATAGTGTTTTCTTTGATAAAAGTGGAGGTGTTATCTTAGCTGACAGAGCACTGCGTGCAGTGCAGGTAAGTGCCAAAACATTTTTCAATTAAAATCAAATAAATCATGAGTAATGTAGTTCATATAAATCTTTGGATTACTATATAAATATTTAAATGTCTTTGTTTTTTTCTTCTGTTGTAAGGGGTCTTATACATTCATCTACAAATTGTGAAGCACGTTTATTTTCCATCCCATAAATCCATTTGAAATTTATTGAACCCCTGGTTACTAGATGAATTTTTATAATACTGGAGAGGATCATAACATAAAAGTAAATTATTAAAAAAAAAATAGCTTAAAGTGGGTAAAAACTGTATGAAAAAGGATAGTACAGCATTCTGACCACACATATAGCTGCAAAACCTAAAGATGGCTATATGCATGATCAAAAATTTCTACTGCCCATTTTTAGTAGGAAAGCTTTATTGATTTTAAGCTTTTGTATTTTAGATTTTGATAGATCAGTTTTGGTATTAACCCTTTCGAGATGAGTCACAGGTGAAAGGCCATGTCATCTGATTTGTTAACTTGCATTCAAAATTTTATTGAACTGCTATTTCAAGAATTTATGTCAATAACTTTTGTATCAAACTGTAATTATAATTCAGATTTTAGTACTATATATTACTCACTGGTTCAAATTAGATGTTTGTGAAGTCAAAATACTAAGTCTATAGTTTTATACGAATTAGAAACTCAAATTACCGATATTGGCAACCTAGAATGTAAAATAAGAGCCTCTTGTCTTTTCAATTTGCTAAGACATTGCTCACATAATAAACCAAATATAGTGTCACCCCACCCACCTCTTTCCATTTTTTGAAACACTCCCTTATGTTCACTTACTTTTATATATGATATGAATAATCAATTGGAAGCTCAAAATGTCCCTCTAGTAGTTTTCTCAGCCATTTTAATGGGCTTGGTGCAATTTCTTTCTTTTGAATCAGTATTTCAGTAGTCTGCTCAAAATTTCATATTTTTTTAGACTGAAATGCAGCTTAGTTACTTATTGGAATTCTTTGGTATTGATATAGTAATTTATGATTATTTGGTAATAAAACCTAAAAAAAGTGTTTGTGTGTGCGTGCGTATATTTAAAAAAAAAAAAATTATATATAAAACCTAAAACACAGCCAAGACAAGTTACTTTGTACAGACCAAAGGTTAGTTTTATGTTATTTGATACAGTAACATGAGTGCACATGAGCTGCATCATTGTAACTTCTGTATTGTTATCCAGGCATGGCTGAAAGATCAATATAATATATATATATATATATATATGTAAATGTATAATGTTATGAAATTTGTGCTATTCAGTGTAAACATTGGTGTTTTTGTTATAATTTCTGTTCATTCTAGAATAAAAGGGGCATAATTTATATTTATTTCCTAATTTTTTATGGTGGTTAGGAGATTTGTCAAATCTACTGAACCCGTACAGAGATTAATGACTGAAGATAACAGATACAATATGAAGTTTTTCTTCAGAAACATTTGACAAGTATCTGAACATTATAAAGATTTTTCATGTGAAATTTCAATATTTTTTTGATGCATAAAAGTATTTCTAATCTTAAAAAGAATATTACTTTGCATGATAGATAGGTAACATGGG